AAGTGCGTGCACCCGTAATTTATTCTGGTAAGAGAACGTGCTTTGGGAAGAGCTGCTAAAAAAACCAAAAATGATGGTTGTAGAATTCTGACTCAAGTCTGAAATACTCTAATAACAGCCAGAAGTCATAAACAGAAGCCAACAGCTATTCATTAGCCTGACTGAAACAGGTCGATGACCTGGTCTCCTTACCAGGGGATAGGTGTTCCCAGTGTGAAAATCTGCGTTATGTCTGGCACAAAATGACATTGTTAGCAAGGAGACAGGAACTAAACAAGATTGGAAATGAAGCATCCTTCGGAAGAGAAAACAGGGCCACGAAACGTATGGGGGAATGTAATTACCTTACAAAAGAGTTGTGCATGCTGTACGTGTTCTTTAGAAAATTGGAAAACTGTACCTAGTGGTTTGGCAATTTAATCACTGGCATTAATCACTTACCATCCTAGAGCCTGGCTCACAACTGCGCAGTTCCAAGTCCTTACACAGATATAATTTCCTTGGTTCCAACAAACTGCACCAGCTGTCTGCTGGAATAATGTGGTGGTAATCTGGATCCTTACTATGTAAATATTTGCTAATTATTGGTTAAGAGCAATTGTTATTTTTTATAGCAGACTGCATGTCATTTTTCTTCTTGATATGATCAAGAATTGGTTTTAGCTTTGTTGAGCATTGCACATACTTAGAAAAATGTTTCCTTTTATTCCTTTTTAACATGAAGAGTTTGTTTTTAAAGCATACTAATCTTCCGTTTTGTCTTTCAAAGGAATGTGTAGAAATCCACACACTATTTTAAAGACTGAATTTCTGATTCCAAGCCCTTAACTGTCTACAGGGAGAAAAATAGAAATGAAAGACAGAACTTTTATTCATGAGTCTAAGATTATTTTCTGAGTGAATAAGGAAAGACTCGAGGGAGTCAGGCTGTTAGGGACTGCTGAACAGAGTTTTTTTTAATTTGTGGGCTGTGTTTTGAATTTACAATAGTGCATGGCTATTTCGAGCATTTATTAGCCTCACAGGCTTTTAAAAGCTATTGGGATATGCAGTTAATGCACCTGCCTTTGCAGTATGTTAAACCCTTTCCCTCTAATGTGAGTAACAATCTTTTCATTAGGAATAAATCTCAAAACCCTCAGAGCAAACAGAAGTGGAGAGAGGGCACAGATTATTAAAAACATGCATTACATTCAGATTTATTAATAATTACTGTTATCATTATTATTTATGTATATATGGAGTGTTTACAGTTCTGTTTAGATATTACAATTTATGTGGATTGTTATGCTCTATTGGGAAATGAAATTCAGCCCTTCACAGTGACTCTGACTTAAAGAGAGTCGCTAGCATCACATACATGCAAAATGCACAGACCTAAATGCTTTTGGTTTCTTTAGAACTTGAAAATCTTGGCTTCCTAAAACAGCTCCAGCAAACAGCTCTGCTTATTAACATTTAAGCATTTTTCAGAGCTCTGTTAGATTCCTATGTATTTGAAAGGCATGTGCTAAACTGTGCACATGTTAAATGTTCTAAGCACTGGCATTTACATTAGTTGTATGCATTGGATTTTGCTGTCCTGTACACTGGCATATTTCATAATAAATTTTTTTGTAAGTTTTAGAACATATTTGGAAAGTAATTTGCTCAGCAAACCGAATCATGTGGGAGGTTTAAAATAAATGAAAATATGTTTTCCTACTTGAAATTCCTGGTTTTGACTTGTTAAAGTGAACTCCTGCAAATCAGACCCTGTTCTCTTTTTAATTGATGTAGTAAATGATTATGTTTTCCTAAAATGTAGTCATCTCTAAACAGCTTTGTTGAGGACTAAGTGTTTTAAGAAATGCAAAACAACATCTGGAGTAAATGTGATTTGTCAGCTCAGCTCTGGATCACCAACAGCAATGCAGCAGAATGAAGACCACAGCTGTTTTACTGAATGAAATAAAGTTCCAAATATGACATCAATGCTTCTGCAAGCAAACAAAATTTCATGAGTTCATACTTAATTTTGGTGAATGCCTGCAAAAGCTACATGCTTGAACTGCTCTAAATATCCCTGGAAAAAAATCATTAGGTTTTTTATGGAAAAAAAAAAAATGGACAAGCAGAGTCTAGCTTCAAAAGCTTCCTTGCCATGTGTTGGTTTAATCTGTAAAGTATTAACCCAGATGATAATTGGTTCCTGGATTAAGCCATCATGATATTATTAGACACTAAAACTGTGCAAGATAATGGTAATATTACTTTGTGATCTTTAGATACCTAGAAGTAATGTTTTCTGAGCACTCAAGAAAGCATGATTACAATTTTCAGTTGGCATTCATGTGATGAAATCGAGCAGTTGTTAAAAATGTAAAGCAGTGCTGATATTGGCCAGTGCTGATATCATCAGTCATGGTGAAACAGATGTGAAAGTTAAGTCCTGAGTTTTGAGAATATATGCGCTCTTCATAGTACAAAGCACACATTCTGATGTAGCTTGAATTATTACCAACTTTTCAGGACAGTTGGAGATACTATGCCTTTGGTCTTCAGGCATCACGCTGTCTCTGAGACATGGTAGTATTTGACAGCATCCCCCCATCTTGTCATAGCTTATTGCAGAATTGACGTTGAGTGTCAGAAATGTGTTACTCAAAATACCAGAGAATGGCAAGTACAGCAGCAAGCAATAGCATGTTCACTTAAGTGAAAAGGCATTTGTTCAAACTTGTTCTGCACAAGTAAAAGCAGAGTGCTTGAAACTCGTGGAAGATGGTGCACTTTATTTCATAAAGATATTGTGTGAGAATTTCAGTAATAAGTGTAGCACAAAGAAAAAAATCTAGAAAAGTATATTGAGGCATCATCAAGTCCAGAGTGATTAACTGTGTTCTTTTGTGTTTGTGGTCTTCTATAGCTGTGTCCTCAGTACTGGCCAGAAAACGGAGTACACCGACACGGTCCTATTCAGGTGGAGTTTGTATCAGCTGATTTAGAAGAAGACATAATCAGCCGGATATTCCGAATTTATAATGCAGCCAGAGTAAGGATGTTATTTGCAAAACAGTTCTGTCTCAGTAGATGAGTTGACTCTATTCAAATGACAAAAAATGAAAGTTAAATTCACATAAACCCATTTAAAAATGAAAGTTAAATTCACATAAACCCATTTCAGCTTATTTATTTGAAAGCAGTGGTGCAAAACTGAGTCACACCGTAATCAATGAGAAAAAAGCCTTCTATGTGTAATTAAAGTAAAAAATATTTTAATGCATATCTCAAGTGTGTTAAATGCAAATGAAATAAATGCAGTATTCAGATTGTATGGTAGCCAAGAAATGCCAAAATCAGTGCTGTTTTCAACAGCTTGAAATTAGCCATCTTCCATATTTGTATCCTGTGTCATGCAAAAAAAGTTTTGCACCAATACAAGGCATGTTTTTCAATTCCAGTCCTAGTCTTTAGTGAAGATCCCATCCTGCTAATCACACTTCATAAGATGTGCAAGCACTTCAGAGGGACGAGTATGTTCTCATATCCAGCTTTTATGCTTCCATAAAGTCAACAGAAGACTAAACGAGGCATGCCTTTCAAGTTGAGTGGAAAAAAGATTCTACCATAGACCAGGCATCTCTGCCCATCGAGGGAGGGAGCCTTCACAATGGACTGGTGTCATCACCGAAGAATAGTTGGGAATGAGCAGCACTCCCTGCTGAAAAAAAGTTGGGAACTGCCCTGAGATCCAGTAGCTCTGAGGACAGTGAAAGGCCCCAAAAAACACACTCAAAACCAGGCCAATGTCTGAACAGGGAAGCAGATTGCAAGCTTCAAGATAGTTCTTCAACACTGTGAAGGCCTTGAATTCACAGTAAATGTGGCAACATAAAAACCCAATCTCCAGCAGCGTTAATGTGAGCTTTAGCGGGCGCTGGGTCTGGCTGATGTGCTTTGGGCAGAGGGGCCATCAGCTGAAGGAAGCTGGCCAGGAAATCAGTAGATTGCAAATTTTGACATAAAGCAGGCAAATCCCATTGAAGAACATACCTAATGCTGCATCCACTTTGGTTTATTCCCTTATCTTGTTAATCTTACATCCTCTCTATTACCTCCTACTCTGGAGAAAATATTGTAATGCAACATTCCTGTGTGTTGCTCATTTTAGAGTGGCACTAAAATGCCCTTGCTTTGCACAGAAGTGAAAGTGGCAAATCCTAGACTACAAAAACAGTTTTCATGCGTGTGTTTATTATGCCCTTTTCGAAGGACTGTAATTTTCTACCACTAACACTTGTTCTGTGCTCCTTTTTTATTTTAAATCACCATAAAGCAACTGTTCAGTAACGTTTCACCAGAGGGGTTCTGACTGCTGCAGTAGCACACAATAAAATAAAATGTAGTTAGATTTTTTATAAGCCAGAAGCATCTGAGAGTTTCATTTAGTTTTTTAAATGTTTCCTGCCTCAAAATATCTTGAGAGGTTTTGACCTGTCTTGTAAAAAAGGACAGAAGCACAAAACATTCTTCAAAATGCTGAAGCATACAAACAAAAAGGGTATATAATTGAAGTTGTGTTGCAGCTCCCTCTTTCCTACGAAGTTCATGCTACGATATTAATTCATTATTTCCTTGGTCCTGCAGCTGTACCATTGCTCTATTCTAGTCTATTTGCATATCACTCTGTTTAAAACCTCTTGTTCTAATAACTCTGTTGGAAATTAAAAGTCATAACTCCTCAAGGGCAGTTGAAATTACATTAGTAGTTTGTCAGCAGTGATCTGCTTGAACAACTTTCCTCACTGATGCAAATATCTAAATTATGTACCCAAAAATTGCTATTATTTTTCCTGTTTGTCTGAATCTCTACAGCCCCAAGATGGCTATCGGATGGTGCAGCAGTTCCAGTTCCTTGGATGGCCCATGTACAGAGACACTCCAGTGTCTAAACGCTCCTTCTTGAAGCTCATCCGCCAAGTGGAGAAGTGGCAGGAAGAATATAACGGGGGAGAGGGACGCACAGTTGTACATTGCTTGTAAGTACAGGACACAGAAGCGAGAAAGTAAGGGAATACTGTTACAGAATTTGTGCCAGCTTTTAAAAGATGGGTGGAGAGGCATCTATCTAATCTGGAACTGGATAAATAATACAACTGCTCATTTAAAACTTGGAATACAAGAGGAATTGTATAATTTTTTATGTAGATTCATGAGTTTCCCTCTCTGTCCCTTGGTAGACCCCTGTGAAAAGTTGATGGGTAAAGTTAACTCTATTTTGTATAAAGATGTCCAGTGACTTTTGCAAATGGAAAAGGTGCATACTTACTCAGAGTAAATCAAAATTGTACCTTCAGAACAACGTACCTTTTATTTCTCCAGGTAAGGACTGTAGAGATAAGTAGTGTTGGAGGGGTCATTCCTCTCCCAGACATAAAGCACAGAAGTAAAAGTGGTGTGATAGGCCGTTTACAATGATCCTGTAATTGCCTTACCTTCCTCTAATAATGGTATATATTTTTGTCCTCCTGTGACCTTTGTGCTCCACTGGTGCAGACTCTCATCCACTCTGCCACCATCCTTCTTTTGATATGGCTTAATACTTGTACACGCTGTTTGCCCTCAGCAGTAGCTGATCTTTTGAGACCGAGTCTACAGTGCTTGAAATTGTATCCCTCTTCCTCTGTAAACATCTGTTTAGAGATGCTGCCATGATGGAGAAGGGGCAGGCTAACGGGAAAAGCACATGCTAACACACTTTCAGAAGTTGAGACCCAATGTGAGAATGATGGAGCGAAATATAAGAGTGTATTAATAATTCCCACTATCACTGACCTTGAACAAGTCATTGCTCTTCAGTTTCCCCATCTGTAGAATGGGGATAATAATACTTTCATCAAAGGAGCATTGTGCAGTGTGATTAATTAATGTTTTGAGATCTTTAGCTGAAAAGACCCTTTTGAAGTGCAAATTACTGTTATCTCTGAGGTGGCTGATGATATTAAATAGTTGTACAACATCACACATGCGTCACTTCCAGGCAGTAAAGAAAGAAAAAGCTCTAATATAATCCTTTTAAATGACTTTATTTTAATTAAAATTCTCAAAGAGTCCCACAATATCAGGCAATGTTTTGGCAGCAGAGAGCATTCTTTTCATACTGCCTGGATGTGACAGATGTGCGACGTTGTGTCTTCCTTTGAAAATCAACCATTTGCGAAGCTGGTTTGAAAGACCTGCTACCTAACTAGTCTGCACTCTGGTAATTATTAAGGTTTATTATTTTTGGTGAAGTGCAGCCTAAAGATTCTGATTAGAATAGCTGTAGAAATAATAGGGTTTGCAGGAAGAAAGAGATTCTCTTAAAGATTAAAAATAACTGGGGATAAAGTATTATTAAATACTGTATTTGATCGTGCATATGAACATTTGTGCCTGGCTTCTTTGTTAGCAAGTCACTTCGGGTTCTCATCCTTTGATACTGTGGGTGGAGGGGGAATACATACACTTTTAAAAGTAGTCATCGCCAGGCAGCCAGCCCCTCTGCCTGCTGCCAGCGAGTGCGCGCATCAGCCAGGGGCATATCCAGCACCACCTGGTGCCATGTTAACGGTGGAGCCACCAGAAGGGCTCCTACAGGTGAGACTTTGGGCACTTCTGCTGTGCCTCCAACATGCCTTTGGGTCCAGGAGGAAAGCACCAGGTTTTGGAATAAAAGAACTCAAAAGATCCACCTTCTCTGTAACATTTCCAGGCCTGATGCTGATTGCAACCTCGTGCGTTTACAGTGCAAAGGGGTGTTAAACTGAATCTAAAAGTACCTTGTCCTTATTTTAGCATCCTCTTTGTGCTGTCTCAGGTGTTCGCTGAAGGGTGGTGCAAAACTCATTCAGTTCCCTCCAGGCTTTCAGCCTGCTGAATTCTGAGTCATAGCTTTGAGATCTTTCAGCCCATTAATGCCAATTAAAAGTCATAGTTTGTCAGCCTTGGGAGGCAGGAGTGTTCTGTGGTTTCTCCCTATTGGAACGCATGCCTTCTGCAGCCGTCCCTGGTGCTGTAAGGACTTGTAACGTAGAGTCAATAGTAACTGAGCCATTTTATCATTTTTATTGTAGGAATGGAGGTGGTCGCAGTGGGACATTTTGTGCAATCAGTATTGTTTGTGAAATGCTTCGACATCAGAGGGCTGTTGACGTATTCCATGCTGTGAAGACACTGAGGAATAATAAGCCTAACATGGTGGACCTTCTGGTATGTGCTTTTTAACTGCAGCACTAAATAGAAAATGTTCCCTTTTCTCAGAAGACTCAGTAAGATTTCCAGGATTTGCAGTGGGAGTTGTTCACAAAGCAAGCAAGTCATTTTCAAAGGGGATAATGAAGTCACTTCACTTATAAGAGTATTTTTACACTGCTTTCTTCCCAAGGAGACTTTGTCTCTGTTCATTTGAATTTTTTAAGAGTTTTAAACTTTCAGCCGAACATCCTTATTAATTTTCTTTTCTAGCAGGCTGAGCCAAGTGGAGAGCAGCCCTTGCATGGTAGAAATAATAGTTATGTAAAATGAAATGCCAGATTTTCAAATTATATATTTTATAAATAGCTTAATCGCCTAATATTTATCAAAGCCATGAATTTCAGTTTGACATCCAGAATATTGCATTTAATTATGGTTGCTCTATCTCATAGAAAGATTAAAGAAGTTCAGAAACAAGGGGCCATGTGCAATTATTTTCCTAGAGAGTGTTTTATGAGTTGTTTTTTTTTTTTTTTAAATGGAGAATTGCTGAAGTGCCAGCTGCTATGTCACAAGAGCTGCAGAACAGCTTAAACCAGCAGGTTCTTACACTCCAGTGTGTAGTTCTGTACTTGGAGATGGGTGTAGCACGATACCCTATTCTGAAGCCTGGGCTATAAAAGACACTTTTACAACATCCTGTGGTAGAGGTGGCTGCTTAAGAGGCAGCTGTATTCAATTTAGCATCACAGGCAGGAGGAGGCAGCATCTGGGCAGCTTCAAGGATGCTAAACCTATCTGAGCTAATTTTGCAAGCTCTAGTTAAACAACCTTGGGTCATATTTCATCTTTTCTTCAGAGTACCCAGGGTGAGGCAGGAGACATCTCACAGAGCTGGTCCAGCCTCTTGTAATTTTAGGAGAGATCCCCCTCTCTCAGATGAGCTGCTGAGATCTGGGGGAGAACGCGCTGGTGAATGGGCAGAAAGCAGGAATTTCTGTTGGGAGGTTTTCAGGCCATGTGTAGATGGATAGGGCCAGCCAGTTCCCCACCACACGTATCACTGCGCCTCATCTGTCCCATAAAAGAACATCTCCCACCACATCCTCGATTGCAGTCCTCCCATCTGTCCTACCTGTGGAATCGCAGATGGAAAGAAAAACAGATGTTGCCAGCTGTGTAAAGAAAGGAGGGAGTTTACAAGCAGCACGACAGGGCCATGAGCCAGCAGTGTGGAACTATGAATATCAGTGAGAAACTATCAAGCTTTTGTAGTGGTGGAAGGGAGCAGCTTAGTTGGCTCCTCTTCCTCTAGTTTCTGTTCTCAGGAGGAGGATCATCATGCTGAGAACCATACATTTTTATTTCCTAGATATTAAGAAAAATGTCCTACTTCTTCATTCAGATAGTATAGTTCAGATAGAGACTTGGCAGGCCTGCTTTCTCCCTTCTTCCAGAGCTCAAGTCCACAGAACTCACTGATCTCTTATTCATTTATTTTATAGAAATAAAAAGAAAATTACCCGTGTGAAGATGTACATACAGTTGAAGAAAATGCTCTCTATAAATTCCCATTTGTGACGGTTCTCCAGGTATAGATTTGTCAGGCAGCTGTCTCCATTTTTCAGCAGAGAATTTTTTTAACCAAAAGCTAAATGTATTATTTTAGAATATAAAAATAGCTTTTAGTAAATTGAGGATAGTATTGAGAATGTCTGGACGGCATCAAGAGGCCTTGTAAGGCCTTTTCCTTATGAGATTTCAAAGCACTTGTGAAGGAGATCAGTATTGTTTTCCTTATTTTACAGAGGAACGAAGGCAGGGGATGATCAGGATTTTTCCCATTATCATGTAATTCACTGACAAAGCCGAGTTAGAACCCCATCTCTTCAGTCTTGGTCTGCTTCTTTGTAGGAACAAATATTTGAATTAGGAAGGTTTCAATTTCCATGTAAATTGTTTCATGGTAAAAAGGAATTGGGACGCTTACATTCTTTTCTTGATCCTGTTACTGACTTTGTCCTTTATGACCTTTCTTATATTGATGTGTCTTTGCCTCAGTTTCCGTATCTGAAAAATGAGAACAGTAATATTCATCTACCTTCGTATAATTCTGTGGTAAAAGATGAAATGCTCAGAATGGTAACAGTATGTCACAAAAATAGTTTCAAGACTGTTTTATCAATACCTCTTAGGCACTTTCTGACTAGATGAAGGGCAATCTTTACAGTCCATACTTACAGATTCATTTAATTTCATTGAAACCTGTGGCTTTCCTGCAAGTGTAAAAGTCTGAATGCCACATCCATACAATATAGAAATCTATTAAATTTTCAGCCATCATACAAAGGTAACGCATGGTATTACAAAATGTCTATTACAGAATGCCCAAAGCATTCTGTGATAAATGTTATTGGACCTACTAATAGGTGTCCTAGAAAAAAAAAATATGAATATACCTCTCTGAAGTGAGCTAATGTAAAGAAACTTCTAATATCCACCATCAAATGAATAATAAAAATGTACAAAGGACACACATGAGTGAACACAGAGGGAAATAATATATGTCTGCTCTTTAAGACAGGTATTCAGTTTACTGAAAATGACAGTTATTCTGCTGGATCAGTAAATCAGCATAAAATGAGCATGGAAAAATGGAAATGGATGAGTGGCTGACCCCTTGTTTTGATCTGTTATGTAGTTACAGAATAATTTTCTCGTATTTAGAAACATGCATGCAATAAAAGCAGAAAAGGAATAATTTGCATAATACTCCTCTCTTACCTTTCTTCTTTTGTAATCTTTTCTCATTCTGAAGAAGACACAAGCAGTTTATAGAACCCTGCAGGGTCTTAAAACCTCACATACAACTCATTCATAACTTAAGTGATACGAGTACCTAAGATTTGTTTTCTTTTGAAGTGACAAAAGAACTTAGAAATTGTCCGTGCTTGTTAATGGCTTTTCAATTGTTGTAATGTTATTTGGTCTCTTAAATGTTAAGGTGGACTCTCTTCTCAGCTAAAATGTGACCCAGTATCACAAGTGCAGGCCAAAAATGTTAATCCTTTAAAATGTTTGCTTCAATGAAAAGGAGAATACGTCTGAACTGTAATTGTAATCTTCCTCCTTGCGATGTTGGGAAGGTGAAGGCTGAGTGCTGTTCAGCTAGTTAAGTCTGTCATTGTTCCTGTATGATAGTACATGCTCAGTTATCTTTTATTAATTGATGAAAGTGCATAAGAGAGAGGCATTTCAGTGGCAGAAGTAGTCATAAAACTGGCAGGTATTTCCAAACTGAATTTTCAGAAGCCATAGCCCTTGGATTCAGGGAACCCGCACCTACTACTTCTTTCAGCTTTTTTGTTTCATTTAATTGTTTGTAGTATTTGCAAATATGGCGAGTAGCACGAATGAAAACAGAAGAGGCATATGTGAAGTCATCAGGGACTGCTTCGTTTGAAGCTGCAGAGTGGGCGAGGGCCAGTCAAAAGCATTGGCCTCTCTGTACTGCTGAAGATGTGAAGGGGGCGAAGTCCCGACCCTCCCTCTCTGCAGGATGCAGACTGGGTGTGCGTGTTGCCTGGGGATTGGCCCTGTTTCCGAGCAGTAATAGAACCAGCAGGTCTCTGTCTGAAGCACAGGGTTGGCACCTGAAAACAGCCTGGGTAACAGAAGAGCTGTTAAGAGCCTAACTTACGCATCACCATTAATTGCTAAAAATTAATTGGAATTAATCCAGTTAATTTAGCTCAGGCCTCATCTCACTGGCCTATTGACAGTATTTCAGCGTGGGTTTGGGCTGCACGTAGAGAAGGAACAGTAAGCAGCTTTTGCCCTGAAATGTAGCAAGTGTGTGAATGACATTATAATAAAACTTGCGATCTGGGAAGTACTAGACACTGGGTCTATTTTAAGATAAACATTTCCAGGGAGGAATTTCAATAACTCCAATTCTGGTAAAGTGCTACACGGGCATTTTGACAGATGACAGAAGGGTTGCAAATCAATTCGTTCACGTGTAGTCAATTTTTCTTATACAAGTGTATTAGAGCAGCTAAATACACATCTAGTATGAGCAGTACCATAAGTTACTGTGTGTAGTGTCTATTGTCTAGTTAATATAAAGATTTTCTTACCTGAATACAAATTGGATTTGCAAACTGGTTCCCATTGACAACAGCTGATAGTAAATAATTTTAACAGAGGAGAAATATTGATCCCCTTAATTAAGTTCCTTCAATAACTGACTTTGCGGTTTTCTTTTGATTTTTCAGGATCAATACAAATTCTGCTATGAAGTGGCTTTGGAATACTTGAATTCTGGCTGATTGCATAAATAGCACAGACAAAGTTCCTCATTTCACCACCACAAACAAAGCAAATCGCTTCATGATATCTGTGTAAATGAGATGAAGACTTCTCGGTGTCATGCTTATACTGCTTTGTATAATTGGCTCTTTTTAAGAGCCCGAAAAGATGTTTATAAAACTGCTTGCACTGCCCGTTTTCCACTATAATGCCGCTGCTTGACACCCATATGAGCGTACACCGAACCACATGGCAGTTGTTGAACACTGTATTCATACGTAGCCATTGATGTGGTGAAGCAGCATAGTCCTCTGGTAAATAAGAGAGCACAATTATATTCTTATGAAGGAATTTGTACTTTTCTGTTACATTTCGTTGCCTGTGATTCTTAGTTATTGTCACAGCCTAGTGTACATTTCTGTTCTGTGGAGAATGCTGTCTGGCATTTTGATAATATATGATTTTAGTTATATTTGTATTCTAACACATGCATAATAAATGAATCGTATGTAGCTTACCTGAACTAAAGGAAAGACATGTACCAAATCATGTTAACTTCGTTGAGTTGTAATTTCTATCCACTTTGTACCATTTCAGAGAGAGAATCTTGATAGAAATACAGTTAGGAAATGCAAAATACAGGATGCTGAGATTAATATATCCAAAGCTTTTTCATTTGTTTATATTGTAAATATTTTTTGATTTCATCAAATTATTTATTCATTAAAAATGAATTTTTTTGTGAAGCACAGTGAGTGACAATCATTTTTATTAAGCCCTGGAAATGCTTACTGTATGATAGTGTAAACATTTGTTTACCTTGTATGGATTCTCAGCTCAATAAATAATTACATACGTGATAAAATCTCGTTTAATTTAGTATCTCTTGGCATCTGGGTGCCTTCAACTAAGCCTCTTTTCAGATTAATTCTTGTAAACACTGAGCTACCTCCAGAGTGTGTTTATTGTGTGATGCAATGTTGATCCAGCCAATAGCAAGATGTGCCAATAAATAAAAAAGGTGAACTGTAGGTCTAAAGATGCACATACATAAAAGCAGAACCTGAAAATTGCCCTGCTGTATGAAGAAGAGATGATGTGGGGCTGGCAATGCTGAGGCTTGTCACAGCATTCCTCTGCAGCCCTGAGCATGCCCTGCCATTCACCATCAAAAGGGGTGATGGTGCATTTGTTCTTGGGCAGAACGACTGCTGTGAGGGGGAAGTAATTCCTCGAGTTAAAGATACCAGTGCTAGAATGACCGGGGGAGTTAAACAGGGAGTAAACCTGCTCTGTTCCTAGGGATGTTACCAGTACTGCCAGTGGGCAGGTTTACACCGCTAAAGCTCTTGCCTGTCCTGAGGGTGGCTGTACTGCACCTGCACGGCATCTGGACGGTGTCTGAACCAGCTGAGACTTGCCTCGTGTTCGTGGATGCAGGAAGCCCAGCCACAAAGCAGCAAGAAAGGGGAATGAGCCAGCACTGCTGAACCGTCCGTTGAACTGCAGATCTTTCTCACTTCACCCAGAGAAACTGCTCAGTAGCGAAGCCTTCCAAAGCTACGTGGGAAACCCAATGCAAGGAAGCGGCAGACTGCACGGTATTTCATCTCTTAAAAAAATCCTTTTAATGTCTTAGCCATCTGGAATGGGGGCAGTATCTATATAAATGTATCAGTCAAAATGTTTGAGAACCTCTAAATCTGAGAGATCCAACTTGGACAGAATGACTCACAGCTTGTCAACTGCCAGTTCAAAGCCACTTCAAAATTCAGATCTGAAGAAATGAGGATTGGCTTCCTCTGCAGCTGGAAAGAATGTTTCTTAAAATTGCTTTAAAATGTAATTGGCAGGTACCAGCCAGTGCTATAAATTGCACAGAGGTACTGAAGAACTTGGGAAAAAGAGCCCCAGCCCTCAGAACGATGGTCCGTAGATATACCCCGTAGCACTTCAGCCTGTTGCAGAATATGCTCTGATTCGTTTGGAAACCCTAGTGTTAGGAAACAAAAATCCAAACCTGTAACATCGTATTCCTCACAACCAGCTTGACAGACCAAGTATGCCAGCCAAGCATGCTTCTTTGTAACAATGGTGGAACACCAAAAAGTTGGGTTCCATGGTCTATTTTTTGAAATACGTATGTACGTGTCCAGTATTTCCTGATGTTTTCAAGAAGTGTAAGTAAGATGGATAGGTGTGCTGAAGGAACCCTAGGACAGAAGGTGACCCAGGCAATGTGATCCCAAATGTGAATGAGATTTATTGAAATGCAGCAAGAATCACGGCAAGCTCTCCCAAAGACAGAGATCGCCAGTGTCTGCCAGACATTATTTCAGCTGCTGTACTCTTGCAGACATACATTGCACAGGAAGGTCTTGGGGGATGAGGGGGGGAAGGAGACGAGAAGGAGAGAGTTCTGCAGTGTTTCTTATTGGTTCACTGATACTTTTTTTTTCATTCTTCTGACATAGGCATAGTCAAATCTGTGTTACAGAGTCTGTGTGATGTTGTCCCAAAAGACATTCTGTGAACTATGATACCTTAAAACTGGAGCCAGCTAAAGAAAGCACAGCCAGCAGCTTTTTGTCCTCATTCTCATACTACAGCTATCAATCAATACAAATGACAGAGAAATCCAAGCTTAGGTAAAACAATACTGTGGCAAGAAGAAAAAACAGATGAGGACTTGAGGAGTTAGGAACAGGGAAAACGTAAGGAATCAGAAGGTAGCAGAAAGAAGAGATGAACATGGGGGGTCAGGTATTTAAGAAGCAGCACAGAGCTTATGAAAGTTACCTGGAGGGCAGCGTTTTAGAGGAGACAACAGAAAGAGAACAGCAGTGACAGACATTTTAAGAGTTCACAAACCAACTTCCCTTTTCAGAAGTAAAGTTACACGATTACAAGCCCAGCAGAGCTGCAGAACTTACGGAGACATCAGTCCTAGTTCGGGAGGAAGAGAGGAAGGGATGTTTCCTTCAATCCCCAGTATATAAGAGGTACATAAATGAATAAAGAGATACTTTAAATGGTTAGCTGTATGTAACCCAACTCGTCATCTCTCCAGGACTTCAGGTAGATGATTTTTGCTAAGCTATTCTGAAAGAGCAGCAGTGAGGGTGGTGAGAGAGGTGATCGCATGAAGGTAATCTGTATTTTTAACAGCAATGCTCCTGGCAGCTTCCTGGGCTGCTTATCAGCAAAATCAGTCTGTCACTACCAGGGTAGCTTCACAGAGTACTAATCCAAAGCTTAAGGACCACATAGAGTAAGATTAAAAATAAAGCATAGGAAAAACTTCCTACCCAGCTGTACGCAGTGTGGCTCAAAAGGGTCTCTGTGCTCCACAGACTTGATCGGAAGGCACTATGCAGCATCAAGACCACCTTCATTTTGGATTTCTCCTTCAGCTGGCTAGGGCTTATCTTTTAATATCTCTGAAATGTTCACTTCTCATTTCACTGTATGTGGGTGTTCCTCCAGGTCTAACTGCCTACTGTATATGCCCCTTCTCAGTCAACACTGGCCTTTTAATAACATGTAGCAAAGACACAAATAGATTTTTCTTCTTTGAGGTGTGTCAAGGAAGATAAATTGACGCTTTCAGCAGCAGCTATTCCAGGCAGCTTCCTTTGGGCAGGCCTGGAGAGGCTGTAATGGAGGTAGCAAACCTTAAGCGCCTTGGCATTGCTCATTCCAAAACACTCAGGATCAGCCACTGAATCTCCTTTCCCTTGTGGTTGTTTTGTGTCTCCACCTCCCCCCGCAAATCAAGGATGACTAAAGGAAAGTGAATGGTTTGAAAGTTTACTTGAGGTTTTACAGCCTCATTAGTTTTCTGATTCAAAGGTAATGTGGTTGCTCTGCCTCCCAGAGTAACTTCTCCAAGCAGATGTGCATTTGCCTTCAGAAACAGCGAGGTATGTATGCAGATCACTGCAACGGAATGATTCGTCATATCATTTTACATTTATTGTTGGTTTTACACTTATTTTGTCAGCTTGGAGCATTGGACTACAAAATCTCGTGCTGCCCGTATCTGATGCCAGACGCTTGGCTTTATTAAAAGTAAAATTAAATTAGGAATAGAAGAACATCCAGCTTAGTTCTATTGTTTGGTGCTTGTTAAGGAAGCCCATGACCAGTCATTTTTGAGGCAGAGCACCAGTAAAACCCAACAGACCATGTGAAAAATTACAGTTTCTAGTGGAGCTCATTTGTTTGTTTCTTTTTCACAGCCTAGACCTTGTCTATATGGTGAGATTATAAGCTGATGAGTGTACATGCTCTGCCTGTGGGAGCTATCCATGCGCTGCTGGCACAAGGCAGCTTGCTCTGCATGACCCTGCTCAGCTGCCGGCACTCACCTTCACCATCCAAGGCCACTTTGATGAAGGAACCTTTCCAAAGCCTTGTCAACCCTTCGCAAGCTGCCATAAACAGGAATAGCAAAATGCCCTCCTCACCCCTGCTGGGTATTTCCAAGCAGACTTTTCTGAAGGCTGAAAAGGCAGCTCCTATGCTGATTATTATTTCCCCAGACTCATCTGATCTCCTGCTCTTAAGCCTGAAATCCAGCCCCTGCTGACCCCACCTCCTCCTGTCCATCTCTCCAGCTCCTTACCCACTCTCAGGGCATCTCTGTGGCCCAGCCTGGCTGGTAGAGCAGGAGAGCTGCAGTGCTAAGCTGCTTTCAGGTCTCTGTCTTCTATCAGAGCCTCCAAGGGCCCTGCTGGAAGGTGCGTTGCCCTCTGGTGCCACAGTCCTGCTTCTCACCCCAGGATCGTGTATAATCCTGACCCATGAGCCTCCATCCTCTTTTCCTCCCAGTCCATCACTGCAGAACATGATGCTCTTTCTGGTTAATATGACTTGAGATGGGTGGAAAGGAGATGTGAAGCTGGAAGATGTTGGGGTCTATAAACACCCAGCCACGATTTTGTTTAATGTTGTTGATAGTACTCAACGCACAAAAGCACAGAAAAGGTGGGCTTTGACAATGAAGAGTGAGAGCAATGCTTGCTGTAGCTTGTCTATGGGAATGTGTCAGGGGAGATTAATATCTCACGTTCACTGACAGTCTTTCCAAGCAATGATATTTTTACTCCTGAAACTCTTCTATTGATGTGTTTTCAGTAGCAGCTAGAAGACTTTTAATTGTATCTCTATAGTCATGATATTTCTAGTAAATGAGGTTTTTGTGAAGAAGTGCTCAGGGGCCACAATTAAAGCGTAAGTCTCATTCATGTTAGACATACATTAATACTGCTGCCAGGCCTGAGTAAATGCAATCAGAACTCTTAGTCCTACAAACATTTACATTAATATCATCTTGTCTAGTCCCACTTGCGCAAAAAAAAAAAAAAACAATCTGATACTCACACACTTTGCATCTGAGCTCATCAGTTGTATGTGTCGTATCAAGACACTGTATTGTGTCTGGCTGGGATGAAGTTAATTTTCTTCACAGCAGCCCATATGGTGCTGTGTTTTGGATAGTGACTAAAACAGTGTTCACAGCACACCAACATTTTAGCTATTGCTGATCAGTGTTTGCACAGCGTCAATGCCTTCTCTGTTTCTCACTCTGCCTCCGCCCCAGCAGGTTGGCTAGGGGTGGTCCACAAGTTGGAGGGGACACAGCTGGGACAGCAGAGCTCAACTGACCAAAGAAGGGATATTCCATACCATACAACATCATACTCAACACCAAAATGGGGTTTGTAAGGGGGGAAGCAATTTCTAGGCGACTGGCTGGTCATTGGTCTGCTTGTGGGAGGTGGTGGGTGAATGCCTTTGCACCAACTGTTTGGGAGTTGTGTCGTGTGTGTGTCCCCCCCGTCCCTTCTTCCTCTTTTCTTC